GCAAGTGTAATGAATATTGTGGACGAGAAAGCGTCCACACTTCACCCTTTCTCATTCAGTTATTTTGCTTCCCTCTGTAATCTTTTTGCTTGGTCTTTGAACCACTCTCTCTAGATTTTTCCAAAACTGGGACGCATTTTCGGACAGGCCTTTGTAGTCATGCATTTGCTTGAGATTTATCCTGATTAGGCAGTAAGACAATGTTGTTTGCTGTTCACGCAGTCGTAGTCCCAGGACCAACCTTTCTGGTCACGCACTCATCCTCTTCACGGAGTCACCTGCGTTGCTTGATCCATTCAATTTAGACTATTGTGTTATAATTTCTCTCCTAGGGGCGGGTGAAATGTACCATTATGTCGTCTTTAATGGATTCCACGTGACGGAACAAAAGATCACATCTTATTCCAAAAACGATAAGGCTAGTGATTCAGTGAGATTTTAAGAATTTCTCTTGGTTGTAGCTGTCAACCAGTCTTCGTCTTTTATCGCTAATTTACGTCTTGATATCACGTTAACGTAGAAACCAACAGGCTGAGCGATCAGGCTTGATATGAATTGTCTCCTGACAAACAATCAGTGAAAACTTATCTCAGCTGAAAACGGAATTAAGTATTGATAACTGCTATATATGTGATAGTTCCTTTTTTTACATGATAGTTGCAACATGACAGCACGTGGATTTCATTGTCTCGAGCGTATCACCATCCAAGTGTAAACCACAAACTCGTCGCTGTAGCTGTTTGCGCTTCAGTTAAGTTTAGTTTTCTCACAAGGGATAGGATTTTTTCCCTACAAAACAACCCAAGTACAGTGTACCGGTATTTCTGGCGTTCATGATTTTCTGTGCTTCACTGTAAAACTCATGGATTTTACTGTTCAGAGCATATTAGAAATCGAGTGAAAATAACTTTTTTTTTCTGAGATTAAAGATGATAATGAAAGAGAATATATCCGTTCCTTTGATAATGACCTGGGTAATATACTGATACAACTCCAACCAATATTTTTAAAAGGGATATCTTTGGCGATTACTTTAACCGCTTTCTGTTCTTTTCTTCAGAAGCTGCGTGTTCTGGCAAAGAGGCTCGCGGAAAATCTTAATCTTAACTATTTTGATGTAAAAGCCAGCTCAAGGGACCGTATCTTTTTTGTCATCATGTGAATATTTGATAATTTTGTGATGATATTCTCAAAGCAAACGATATTGATAGAGGAAATGTACGAAAGCCGAGAAGGGACTTCAGACTTCAGACTTCAGACCTCATACTTCAGACTTCAGACTTCAGACTTCAGACTTCAGACTTCAGACTTCAGACTTCATACTTCAGACTTCAGACTTCGTACTTCAGACTTCATACTTCAGACTTCAGACTTCTCTCCCTGGGCCCTAGTCCTCCAATTTTTCATTCCTTGTTGTTATTTGCCAACATGGATGACGATGTAAGTAAATTTGTTATTTATTGCTCTGTCTTTTCACCTCTATTTGAATCACCAAAAAATCATTTTTTTTATTTCTCACCTCGTATTGCCTGCAGGCATAGTTTTTGGCTCTTTTTTAGTGAACAATTTTGTGAGGAACTAGGTACTGAAACTTTACAAGCGCTTGTAATTTTCAAATGCAACATTTGTTTTGAGAGTCTCGATTCACGAAGTTTTTACGCTGTGGCCAACTGACCGGCAGCAGGTCAAAGTTTTCAGAGCTCTAAAAGACCGCCAGTCTGACAATTTGCTCAAATTTAAAGATTCAAAGAGACCCATCCAGTTCAAACTATCATACATCGATTAAGAAGTGCCGAGCGATCCAGGAAAGCTTTATAGATAGCAAGTCTGGTTTACGCTCGGCTCGGGGAGCGAAACAATGATTTGTGACACTTAGTCATTTTTTAGGTCGACTGCCGGTCACGGTTTTCAAATTACTAAATGACCGGCAGTTTAATACTTTTCTCAAGACTAAGAAATCTCACTGATGATATGCAAACTATGATATGTCGAATAAGAAGTACAAAGCCATCCAGCAGATATTTATAGACCACAAGTCGAACTCTTGTGTCACAAGATGATTTACAGTTGATTACATGAAAAATATGAAATGATTGTAAATAAGATTTAACGCTGGGGCGATTAGCGCTGGAAAAGTTCTAGAAACTTCTATCACTGTCACTTCACTTTCGTCGTTTATCATTTTTGCGCAAACAGAACAAACAAAGTCAACGCGGATCTTCTCCTATGTTGATTTAAAAACTGACAACCATGGAACTTTTTCAAAGTATTGCGGGGAATGTCCACAGTTTCTTCGATTCCTTAAATTTGAGCAAAATATAAAACTGCCGGTAATTTAGTTATTTGAAAACTGTGACCTGCAGTCGACCTAAATACGAAAATCTTATCCACTCAAAGGAACAAAAGTAAAAGCAGGAATGCGACCCGGGCCTTATTAAGATAATTAGCTTGTCCATAAAGGACGAGAGTTAAAAGAGCAACGTTATGTAACGCAGTATAAAATCTAACTCGCAAAGTAAATTTTTGAATTATTAATACTATAAGAAGTGCCTAGTAAAAGTGCGTAAATGTAAAAATCTTGGTTTTTATTGACCGTAAGCAGTTTTCATACATTTTAAAATAAAATCGCATCGAAAGTAACCTCTCAAATGCCTTAACTCTGTTGTGTGACTCACCAATGCTGCGTGACAGCGACAGACTAGTAAATCTCCCCATTTCGTCTTACAGCTGGTCCTATTCGTGAAGGATTCCGCTATGCAGGAGTTGAAAGCAATACTTGAGCAACACAAGGTACATTTCAATCGTTGAAGGGAGATTGAATGATCAAATAGCTACCGTGAAGTACGTGGGTAACGACCCTCGTTCTTTTTCGGATTTTGAGGCCTTTTCTTATTAGACCCTATTGCCACTTTCGGAGGATCGTTACGTTCGGGTAAATAAACTGTGTACGGTACATGGGCTACTAAAATTTATTAAAATAGATACAAATGTGAAAACATCGGAAATATGTATACAATCGTTAAATTCGAGGTGGGGGTCTCTAAATTTGTAACTTGCTTAAACTGTGAAATGTCGTTACTTTTTGGGGTTGTTACTCTTATGCCTTTATGGTGGTTGGTTGTTCTGTAGTTTAATGGGTAATTTGCTGGCATGTCTAAGATGTTTTATTGTTTAACTAAAGCGTAAATTAGTGGTCATGAATGGCCATCGTATTTGTATAATTTTGGCAAAGATAATAACAAGAGTAACGATGAAATTACAAGAACATAATAAAATTAAAAGAAATTAAAGAAATTAAAAGAATTAAAGAAATTAAATTAAAGAAATTAAAAGAACATAATTACAAGATCATAATAAATTCCACTGCATGATAAAGAATGATTGTGGTGAACTGTCTATTCGTGTTAATCGGTAAGCTTGACGCCTTCATTACTTTTTAACAGGTTTACAGTATGCTTACCTTGAAAATGATTACAGATACTCAGTTTGAAAGCTTGGGACTGGCTATAGGTCATATAGGAAAGATAAAGGCTTTAACAGCTGAAATCAGTGAAGCCAAGATATCAGAAGGTATGTAATCCCATATTTCTCCCTTATGATCGGGAAATGCTTTTCATTAGTGCGTCATTACTTTACAATCCTTTTGGACTACGGGGCTAAAAGAATTCGCTTTTCTACACAGAACTTGATTGCAGTCGCTTTGGAAAACACCCAGACAAAGCTGACCGCTGGGGCTGCTCACCCAAAGAAAGCTCATAGGAGTTTTGAGCTCTTTCTCTTTCGTCAGATTTCTGTTAATGAAAAAAGAAACTGTCTGTAATGCGACGTAATTCGTGTTTTTTTTTTATGCAGTTCAAAAAGAGGCCAGAAACAGGAATCTAGTCGAAAAAATCAGAAAAGGTGGAGCTAAAGATGAGAAACGGAAAACCAACGCCGCTCGAGCTCAAGTGGATAAGAAGACAGTAAAGCAACGAAAAATGTATATCGGCTGGCTTCATCGTTCCTCTGTTAACTCTAAGTTTAAACAGGTAAGATTGAAAGACGGTGGAGGTATCCGTGAGTTCACCTACATTGATGACGATAAAATCTCGGTGGATTTTCTCAAGGCAAATGCCAGGAAGCTTTTCTTCCCAGAACAAAGGTCTAAGTTTGGTGCCTTAGACGATATGTGAGATACAATGAAATATATGAAGTTCATATATTTTGTACTGCGGTATTAGATACATATGATGCACGATCCTCGCAGTAGATAGCGCTATGTAAGCAATAGCGAAAATCAGACCTGAAAAAAATCACCGAATTATCACCAAAATTACGAATCAACTTAACGGCCTGCTCCCAGTTGGCTTGTTAGCTGAATTGGTAGAGCGCTGCACTGGTATCGCAGAGGTCAGTGGTTCGAATCCCGTACAGGCCTGATTTTTTTCAGGTCTGATTTTCGCTATTGCTTAGAAAGCGCTATCTACTTAGACGATATGTGTTTGCATTTAGGTAACTACGCACAGGAAAGGATAACAGAGTTCACTGATATCGATGGAAAAACCTGTACCTTTCAAGAGTATCTGAAATCACGTGGCCTATTTGCTAGTCGATTTAACGTTTACTTGATGTCGACATTCGTAGGAGACGGAACAGAGGGACCGGCGAATGATGCTTCACAGGAAGAAGCTCACAGAAAGCGAGACACATTTCAGTTTAAAATACAAGACGTGTTTATGGGTGCTGGTGAAACAAAGATATCTGGAGATTTCAAGAATCTCGCGGCGACTAGCACACCAAAGACGTCAGCACGAGAAGAAAGCCAAAGCCATATCTTGGTGTTAAAGAACCAGGTAGGAAAAAGCCCTTTCCCTTATCAAACTGTCAGTGACAACAAACTGTACATCACCTATGAAAGCGCTACAAACTCGTCATATGCTGACGTGGTATTGAGAGTTATGTCATCCTGAAGAGCACAGTGCTACGATGTCTACTCTTTTGAAGATCCTACCATTCAAGACATGGCGTTTAACGATTTTGACCCTCTGGACTTTGGCTTTAACGTTGTCGACATTTCTAAAGGTGAAAAATATTTTCTTCAACGGAGTGACGAGCCAACCTCTGAAGAAGGATTCAAGGTAGTCTTCCCTAACGCAGATGCGCAATCCAGTAGCCTTATCTTACACCCTCCATCAGAGGTTTGGGGCTACGATGATAAACAGCTGATACTGGGAGTTGTATCATCCTGCCATATGTCATCGAATGCATGGTACGTGTGGTATCGTGATGGAATTCAGATCAAAGCAGGAAACAAACATTGCTGTCCACCAGTTTCTTCGCCAGGTAGTTACCATATCGCGGTACACTGCGGAGAGGAAAAGACGACGTCGGAACCAGTCTTGGTTTGCGATTTAAGTGATTTGGGACCACCGAGCGTCTCTGCATTCGACACAAGTGCCAAGGCGAACGTCCCTCAACTGCCTGTAGTGGAAAAGGGAGAAATAAACTTTTCAGCGAAAGATGAACTTGGCCGAGGCTCCTTTGGTGTCGTGTACAAGGGCGTGTGGGCCGGAACCGAGGTCGCAGTGAAGCTTGTCAAAATAAGAAACGCCAAGGGCCTTCAGAGAGTCGTGGAAACGGAGGTACGAATTCACAGCATGATTCGCCACCCAAACAATGTGCAAATTATGGCCATTTCATATCTGAAAAACTCTATTTACCTGGTCTCGGAACTTATAAATGGGCGAAATTTGGAGGAATTACTCTTCAACGATGACGAAAATTCTGACAATTTCACTCTTCAAAGCTGCAATAAGTATGATGTTGGGAAGCAAGTTTCGTTAGCTGTTGCTTACTTGCATAATTTGAAACCTCCTCTTCTTCACTGCGACATAAAACCTGCTAATGTGCTGGTAGCCGAGAAAACCCACATCACAAAGCTGTGCGACATGGGTTTGAGCAAACTGAAGTCCGCGCAATCCCTTACTCACACGACCAGCTCAGCAATCAGAGGAACTCCCTCTTATATGGCCCCCGAATGTCTGCTTGAGAGGAAGAAAGCCGCAGTCCATCCAGATGTCTGGTCGTTGGCATGTACATTCGTTGAGCTTTTCACCGAGAGGGAATGTTGGGAACAATTGTTAGAAGGTAAGGAAGAAGCTGCTGGCAGGAAAAGTGATGATGCAGAAAGCGACGTTGAATCTCTCATTGCCATCATGAGAAAGAAAGAATGTCCTCGCTCAATAGAGTTCTCGCCAGAAACAGTTGATGCTTCCCTCCGTGGCATTCTCGTAGACTGTTTCAAGTATGAAACAGAATTGAGGCCACGTGCTATTGACCTTGTAAATGCATTTCCGTAAAGGCTAAGACAAATCTCAAGTCAGTGTGAAAAATGCTTGTATGGCCAGAAATCGAGGACAGTATGGCGGCGAAGCATGCGCACTATTAGTGATTGAGGTGCTTTTTGAAAGTGGCTTTTTGATAAAGGTTTTGTATGACAGAATTTTGAAATTCCTCCACAGTGAGGCTACGAAGGTGCAAGGTCACGTTCTGCACATCGAATAACGTGAGAATGTACTCCAAAGATTACTCACGTCAAATATAAAACTACAGCGATGTACCAAAGTTCTTCCCGAGCCACACATTTTATGGACACGTTGTAGCGGCATTAGCGCCCGTCTCTACCTTGCGCTTGAATACCCTTTTCCATTCCGTTTAAGTCCATCGTGGCTCTTCGTTTAATTACTTAGTCCACACATCGTAAGTTCATCTGCGAAGACTGATGACCAATTCACAGCCCATTTTAAAGCAAACAAGGCATCCTTTGTTCAGCAAAAAAATATTCCGAATTGTCGACAATTCTGATTACTAAAAATTTTGAAAAATCCGATGTCGACTCGTTAAATTGTTGAACCGGCTGAAACCTTCGCTACCCTGTGAAAACAAGCCGTTATTATCACTAGCTTTGTAACCTAGCTATTTAAAATCAATGCCGCTGTTTACGGGTACCGAAGGCTTCAAAATCGTGCAAAATGTAAAATTTTGAAAATTGACTGCTATGAAAATTAACTTGCCCCTCGTTTACGGTTTATCTTGCAAATAAACCGCTCAATTCCATAAAATTGTCCCTGTCCTGAATATGTGTTGCTTCTTTTCTCAATAAAAAAGTCGACGGTGGTTAAATTATTTACCTCACGATAAAAGGCAATTTTAGAAGCTTTTTGTGCAACCACATTTGTTATTTAAATTCCGCGAATGTGAGCCCAAATTTAAGTCCGCTGACTGTCCTCGATTTCTAGCCATGCAGTACTTTAATCGTGGTATTTAATTCAACGCCAAATTAATGCATTTTGGCGTTAAAGAACTAAAATGTGTGATCTGTTTGTAGTCTATCAGGAAACTGCCTTGCTCAAGTTTCATTGTGTCGTTACAAGACAAAAGTTTTGTTAATTTTTCACTATTTCAATGTTAATGTTTCTTTCGATTTCTGTTAAAGGACACAAGTAGAGCTGATATGCTTAATTGAGTAAGGAGGAGTATTAGGAAAGTCTACTGAGGTGTTATTTCATCGACCGTCACATAAGTTACTTAAAATTGCGTCGAGATCAGTCAAGATGTTGATTGATCTGGTTTAAAAATACCGCCATGTTGAACTTCATTTCTCGGGAGTTCCCCGCCCTTCCTCTTCTCCTCGTTTTGCCTGCCTTGAAGAAGGCATAGTTGAACAACATGTTTTGACGAGTTTGGAATCCATGCAAACCATGTAACCATTGGAAGCCATGTAAGCTTCAACTATGACCACTCAAG